TAACCCTTCCCTCACCTTGTGCCACATTGGGCACAAGTATGGAAACCACTTTTAATTATTTCATCCTTTTTTGTGTATAAATTCATTCATAAGGTACTTGTCCTGAAGAAGGGGAATCCCTTGGAGTGCGACTGTCACCTGCCCCATCACCGCCGTCGAGGCCTTCCCCCTCGCCTGCATCGACTCCCTGCCCCACCGCCGCAGCCACCGAGAGTACCAGAGCAAGTGACAGTCGCACTCCAAGGGATTCCCCTCCAGCCACACTCCACCTATCAAAAAGAAAATTCATGGAAATATATTTCATGCGATAATGTGAATTTTGCAGGCAGTCGGTAACGCTTGAGTCACGTTATATCTACATTACGGCCACATCACACAAAATTCACATTATTTGCGTTACAAACATTCCAACCAAAGGGCTGCTTCGAAGTCAATGTGAATCTCACCTGGAGCAACCCTTGACCCTCGCACCGTCCAATCCTCTTCCTCCCCGTAGAGCACCTCCGACTGGATGGACCGGAGGGCGTTGTCGTTCAGGTGGAGGGTGAGGAAGGTGGCGTCCGGCAGGTGGCGCAGGAGACCGGCGGGGAGGCGGGACAACCCGGTGCCGCTGATGCTCAGGCTCAGGACGCGGGACTGGGTCACGTCCTGGTCCAACGAAAAAACAAACGGGGAATTGGGATCGGTTTAAGTGCCGCTTCTTGACTAATGTGAGGTTTGTGACATCACAACGCCAAGTATTCCAGTTTTTTTTTTACGACATTGAATTTGTTCCGAGAAATCATTTTTTATTTATTTAATTTTTTTCTTAAGATAATTTTTTTTTTCATTTCCGCGAAGGACCAAGCAAGCAATAAATGTCCCTAAAGATGGCCCAGCCAACGAACCGACCTTGAACGCCTGGGGGGAGATGCTGGTGAGGTTGACCCCCCGAATCCCCAATTTCTCCAGCCTGGTCGCAGCCGTCCCCGCCAATTGGTCCACGAGCGAGTCCTCCGTCACCCAGACGACCAATTCCCTGAGGTTGTAGACCCTCGACAGCAGCGACCCCAGGCGGAACCGATACCTCTCGATCTGCGGGCAGGTCTGGATCTCCAACTCTTCCAGTCCCTTTAAAGCCTCCAATGCGTCCGCGTCCAGCCGCCGCAGCGACTCCATCCCCAACAGCTTGAGTCGTCTCAGTCGGCCCAGCCCCCTGAAGCTGTCGCGGGTCAGGGACGACACGGGGCAGTCGGACACGTCCAGCGTCTGCAGCTGCGGCGCCCAGGACCAGGACTGGAGCTTCTGGACCGGATTCCGCGACGCGACCAGTTCGACCAGATCCGGCAGCACCGACTCGCTCCTCAGCTCCGCGATCGCGTTCCGCGAAACGTCGAGCACTCTCAGCGGCACCGACGGGCCGAACGCCGGGATTCGCTTCAGCTTCGTTTCCGCCAGATTCAGCACCATCAGGTTCCTCGTCTCCTGGAACAAATTCTCGTCCACCTCCTCCAGCAAGTTATGGCTCAGGTTGACCACGACCAGGTTCGGCACCATGGCGAAGCTGTCCGGCGGCACGACCAGGATCTTATTATGCGACACGTCCAGATGCGTCAGCACCGGACACGCCGCCAAACTCGCCGCGTCCACGTGCTCCACCGCGTTCCGCGACAGATCCAGCCGCCTGAGCGACGCCCCCACCGCCCCCAGCGCCAGCGACGGCACGAAACTGAAATCGTTCCGGGACAGATCCAGCCTCTCCAGCAGCGTGTTCTGGAACGCATCCGGCGCCAGGGACCTCAGCCGGTTCCCCGCGAGCCTCAGCACCCTCAGACTCACCAGCGACGCGAACGCCGCCGCGGGCAGCGTCTCCACCGCGTTCCTCGACAGATCCAGCACCTGCAGCCTCAGCAGTCCCTTAAACGCATCCGGTTCCACCGTCGCGATGGAGTTCCCGTCCAACTGCAGCGTCAGCAGGCTCTGCAGATTCGCGAACCGTCGCGAATCGATCCGGCTCAACTCGTTGTCGGACAGCAACAGGCGCTCCAGATCCGTCAGGCCCTCCAGCCAGGACAATTCCTGCAACCGATTATCTCTGAGGTCCAAAAGCAGCAGGCTCGACTCGCCTTTTCCAGCAGAAAACCGGCCGATGTCGTTCTGAGAGAGATTCAGCATGCCAGCGACGTCACGTTGACGACGGCTTCCATCGAAAATTCCCCGATCCGGTTCCGGCTGAGATCGAGGTAAGCCAGGGAAGGGAGATGGTGGAAGGCGTCGTCTGGGACCGACTCGATCCGGTTGCAACAGAGATTCAGAGTCCGCAAGGACGGCAGGTCCCGGAACGTTCCTCGTCGGAGCCGACCGAGTCGATTCCCGGACAGGTCGAGAGCCTCCAGCCGGGGCAGGCCGACGAAGGCGTCCGAGTCGAGTTCGGCGATGCGGTTGAATCCCAGCCGAGCTTCTTCGAGGTGGCGGTGGACGATAGGGTGGAGGAGGCCTTGGGGGGGAGGGCGGTCAGGTCGTTGTGGGTCAGGTCGAGGTGGCGGAGGCGGCCGAAGGAGAGGAGGGGGTCGGGGTCCAGAGAGCGGAAGCGGCAGTTGTCCATCTGGAGTCGTTCGAGGTTGACGAGGGCCGAGAGAGGCTTCTTGGGGAAGGGGGAGTGAATTGTGATCTGCCTATCAGGATCATTAATTAGTAAAACCTTTTTTAAGTCACCACGGGGTTTACTGTCTGAGTTTGCCGTGCCGAACCCTCGACTCAAAACAATCCTTGCCACGCACAAATAACATTAATTTCCCACAGGCAACACCGCGAAAAAAAAGGATGGCGAGCCTCGAAAGGGTTAATAAAACGGAAAATGTAAAGAAAAAAAAAAACATTTCGCAGCCAAGAGCGACCTTATTCGCTTTATTATTTATAGCGCTTCACTGCCTAATTTGATTTATTTAAAGCTCTAAA